CCAATTGCAGCCAAGAACTTCTTCTACACGGTACCCAGTAACCATTTCAAACATAGAATTAATGTAAATAATGAGATGTTTCGGTTTCAAATCATCCGTGACAACAAACCTACAAGGCGCCCGCTGCACAAGTTTGTCCACCGAAAAGGCAACGTCCCACCTTCACCTCCACCACCCTTCCTCAACAAAAATCCCCAAAAAAACATAGAACTAATTTAATTCAGAAAAAAATATGATTTTTAATATAAAGGAGAAGTCAATTGTTTGGAATTTGAAGGAGAAAATGTTTTTCAATATTTAATTTGAGGAAGTTTGGATTTGGAATTTGAAGGAGGAGACATTTTTCAATTTTCAATTTGGGGAAGAATGACTTTTGACGTGAAAGAAAGCCTCCAATTCCCTTCCTTCTTTCTTTAATTTTGTTTTACACGAGAGGGATAAAGTGGTATTTTTCATACTTTTAAATAATTAAGTTTTCTTTTCTTTTTGAGAATTTGGTCAAAGGCCATTTGAACAAAAAACTTTGTGGGGCGGTCATTTCACCTCATTCCCCTTACAACTAACACGCTTTAGCAGTTTGGGTTGTTATATCGCAATTCTTGTATGAGAGCATTTATTCTTGTGGGCAAGTTTCTCATTGCATTTGCTGTTGGCACGCTTTAACCAGTCATGATAAAACTGCCAACACATATTGCTTAGAAAAAATCTACACTCTTAAAAGGTAAGAACTCACAATTTTGTCAGATTTTACTTCCTGCAGCTGAGATAGTAATCTCCAGAAACAGGAGACTGAAGAAGAGCACTGCCCCACCCATTGTAGCTGAGGAAGTTCTTATAAAAAGAACATTAAAAACCTTTCAGTTGGAAGATCATTTATTTGACAGGAGATGTAGTTCAAGTGGCTTTCTGATTTTTTCATGCAGCTGAGATTTTTTACGTGTCCCAATGTGATCTTAGTGACTCTGCAGCTGTTGCAACCTCGCGTAAACAAATTTGCAATTTGCTGGTAATCTATCAAATTTGCAACCACTCGGAAAAGAACATATTTAAGACAATGTTTCATAATAATGTTGGCAAACGACCCTCGTGTTCCGAAAAGAAAATGTTCCAAAAGCTCGTGACATTCTTGCTCTGATTTTAGGATCAAGCTCACAATGGTTTCATTATAATTCTGTTTAAATTCTATAACCTTTTCGAGGTAGATGAATGTGAAGATAATGGTTTTTTTTCTTTTGGATGGATTATAGCAATGAGCATTGTGTATTTATCTGTGATTACTATTGTTTGTATTATCTACCTAAAGTGTTCATTATAGCTGTACATTTATGTGTGATTATCATTGTGTATTTTATTTTTTTATTATCAACCTAAAGTCAACATCTAATTTTTTTCTTTGTTGGTGTCATCTCTACTTGTTGAGTAAGGAATTGAAATGAATTTGGTTAAATTTCCGGCTCATATGATCTCTTCCTCTATTCTCCTTATATACACGATTACAGCAACAAAGGATATTACATACAAAACAATATTCTACTTCCACCTATACACTGATGCCAAGTGTCCAACAGAAATATTCTCCCACTCCTAGAATCAAGGAAATACACTGCTTTGCACATATAATGTTGTTATGCAGGATGAGCAGCTAGGCACTATAGAAGATTTCTGACAGTTAGATGATTAATTCTAACACCCCCCCTCCCTCAAGGTGGAGTGTGTCTCAACCACTCCAAACTTATCTGTGAAGAATAGGAACCTCGAATGAGTAAGAGGCTTTGTCAACAAGTCTGCTGTGTGGTTTGAAGATGGTACATAGTGGATTTCTAACTCCTTCCTCAAAACTTTGTATCTTACAAAGTGAACATCCAACTCTATGTGCTTGGTGCGAACATGATACGCAGAATTTGAAGCCAATGCACTTGCACTCAAATTATCACACCAATTTTTGGGAATTGACTTCTGTGATATACTCAGTTCTCTAAGTAGTGATTGTATCCAAGTAATTTTTGAGGCACTATGAGCTAATGCTCTATACTCAGCTTTTGTACTTGATCTGGCAACAACATGTTGCTTTTTGGAACACCAAGATACCAGATTATCTCCAAGATACACACAATAGCCTGTTGTAGACCTTCTGTCATATGGGCATGATGCCCAGTTAGAATCCGCAAATGTTGTTATTTCTAGGCTGTCACTTTTTTGAATAACTAAGCCATGATTCAGAGTACCCTTTAAGTATCTAAATACTCTCTTAAGTATCTTCCAGTGAGCATCTATGGGAGCTTGAAGAAATTGACTCATTTTGTTCACAGCATAGGTAATGTCAGGTCTTGTATGTGCTAGATATTGAAGGCCACCAACAGCACTTCTATAAAGAATTGGATCCTTCATGACTTGTCCTTCAACCTTAAGAGATCTTCTTCCCAATTGCCATAGGTGTTAAGCTCGGTTTTAGGTTCTCATAGACAAACTTCGTAAGCAAACCACTGAGTTTAAGTACAACATTGTTGCACTTCTACACACCTCAATACCCAAGAATTGGCTAAGACTGTCCATATTCTTAAGAGCAAAAAATGCATTCAGTTTATCAATGAACACTTGTAGCTGTTCACCATTATTTTCAGCTTTCTCCACCTAATGATGATAGAATTGTTCAATTAAATTGACAATTATTTTTCCTGCGTTATAAAATATCACCCATTTGGAATAGGGTTCAAACTACGCATTTATTCTCAACATTTTTTTACTTTGCGTCTCAGTGCATTGTGATTAGGGGTGTCCAAAAGTCTTGAACCGAATCGAACCCGAACCGAACCGAACCGAACCGAGCGGTTCTTCATAAATTAAATACCCGAACGGGTACCCGAATCGAAAACCGATGGGTTTGGGTCGGGTCTCGGTTCTAAACCAAGAACCGAATAAGAACCGA